GAGAGTTTCAGAAATTGGTGCTGGAATTGGAGCCTGTATCCGATAACCTTTACTTCCACGTTTACTTAGTTCACTCTTAACAGTGACCGATGTTCTGGGTTAAACTGGGTCTCCCTCTGCTACTGATCTTCAGTAACTGTAAACATGGAGATGACTTAAAGATAATCAATGTAAAATGTAGTCATTAGGGTAGGTCTTCATCTTGTGTGCCTGGGGTTCATATATGAGAGGTAAATTTGGAAACTGCTAAGCACAGAGGGAAGAATATGACAAAGCTAGATGGCCATTCATGAGCGAGGCCTGGAACAGAACCCCCTGCATTGTCATCCCTGGGAATCAACCATGTTGGACTTCTGACTTCAGAACTCTGAGGCAACACTAGGTGGCATTCCGTTATGAATACGGCTCTGGACAGCTCTGTCTACAGTTGGAGTGTCACACAGTGAATCATAACATCTGTTTTCTGGTTTTCCTCCTCTTCTCTCTCTTCCTTCTCCTGCTCTCCCAAGGTCCCGATCGCTACCGAGAAGAGAAGGCATGTGTCCTTCAGTATTTTTGCAGAGTTTAAATAGTTTTTTAAACTATTTATTAATGTCTCTCTAGACAAAGAGCTCAAATCACTGGTGGATGGTTTATTAAAGAAGAAAATAATCACTGTTATTATAGACTACCTCAGAGGGTTTTAATTAAAACTTTACGAAGTTGAGAACAGAACATCTTCAGAAGGGAGGGTTGCTAAGGACACTAGTGACGCATCACCTGCATTTTGAACATCACCTCTCAATTCACTGTGTGTCCTTGGTTCCTCTAATCCTGATGCATCCCAGCTGCTGTGTCTATGAAGCAGGAGATCTTAAGAACTGTCTTGGGGTTAATTGAATTAATACTTCCAAAATATCTGTAAGAGAGAATGGGCATAACAAGTCTCTATGGTAGCCTGGCTTGTGCTCCTAATTTACCTCTGATTCCCTCATCCTCGACTGTCTGGTGGAACACTACTGTGAACGTTCCCACATGAAGCAAAATGTAGATCATCATGTACTCTATTTATCTATTTCCAACCAGTACTACTGCTGCCCCAGCTTGAGAAATCAGCATTTAAAGGGCTCTCCTATATATAGAAGGTGTGTATTCACAGGGTTGTTCATTGTCTCTCAAGGATAAGAAATGCGTGGATCTGTTTCTCTCTTGGCTCAAACTCTTATGCAAACATCTCAGAAATTAACTAACGATGGGATTACCCAGAAAGCATAGTGCAGTCAGTTGTCTTCTCTCTGCCTCATTTATCCACGAACACAGTTCTGACAGTATTTTAGGTCCTTTATCTTTAATGCCTGGGCACTGCTAGGATGAATGCCCTTTGTACAGGCAGCACACCTGGGAAATGCTGCTGGAGGCTCCCTAATGAAAGCCAGGAGTAGAACAAAAGGCAAGCTGTGAGGTCTTCCGGCTGTGTTTGTGATGATAATGCTGAGAAGGCTGCTCATACCTGAGCACACCTTTTTAACAACCTGCTCCAACATATGTTTCTCACTTCCAACCCGTGCTGGATCAGTGGGACAATATTTAATGGTAACCTTGCAGGCGGATAGATGATCTCAGTGGTGTAATCGCCAGGGCAGTAATTTACAGCTTATGTACTGGTGTAAGTCAGACTGAAAGTGGCTTTGTTGTCTTTGGAAACTTTGATGAGTTTTCAAGGTCATAATCACAAACATCTTGTGCAGGTTGTTCATAATAATTTGAAAATTCTTCTTGTGCTTTGTCTGAAGACCAACTGCCAATAAAACCTAGTCATTTACAATATTTTTGCGATGTCTCCCAAACGTTTATAGAATTCTACTTGTGCCAGTGGCCACTGTTACTTTGTTTATGTTCACACATCTGTCAATATTTTAAAGTAAATATTTTGCTAATTTTGTGGGAGACTGATTTTAAGTATTTTATCCAAATTTTCATTTTCTTGTTTGCTTGTTTGTTTTGTTTTTTGCTTTTTCAAGACAGGGTTTCTCTGTGTAACAGTCCTGGCTGTTCTGAAAGCAAATTTCCACTTTTAACTCAGCCTTTTCCTCATCCCATAAGTGGACCAAGTCAATTTAAATAGTAGCCTAGCAATTACGGCAATCAGCAGATATGGAGGTTTGCCCTTAAGTCACCGACATAAAGCTATGTAGAACGGCACACCTATACCTTGCATATGGATCCAGACACTGCATGCTGTTTGCTTTGAAATCTAGCTCCACAGGGGTCCACGTGATCTGGGACAAGAAATATTCCACGAACACCAGGAGGAAGGAGGAGATTTTCATTGTACCATTTATTCCTTCAATTTCATGTAAACGTACATATTTTATGCTTTATATAGAATTATGACTAACAAATCGTTCTTCAGAAGTACACTTATTTCTGATCCTTCTAGTCTGTAAATAGGACATTTTTAAAGGCATTCTCACTCATCATTTGTTTTCCTAAAATTTCCCATTTCACTGTATATTTTTCATTCCCAGGAAGCTTTTGCAGCTTCTATGCTGAGCCTCACTACTACATTTCCAACTGCTTCTTAAACAGTCCACGCACAACACAGGCAGCAAAATCAATACCGTTTTAGTTCTTTCTACCAACCAAGCCCTCTACAAGGCTCTGCAATGTTATGAGAAATCAGGCTTGACCCTTATCTTCTGGGGGATCTATCATAATCACATATAAATGGCTTTAATAAGGCACGGTGTAATCATGACTAATGAGTGAAAATAAGCATCCTGGGTTTGGAGGGGGCTGGATCATGGCTTCTCTTAGGTGGGGGCTGGGAAACACAGGGAAAGTGTGGGAGTATCGATGAGCTTTCACAGAGGACTAAAGCTGAAAAGCACTGCTGCAGAGACAGGAGCAGAGAGGGCAGCGAGGACTCTTGCTGCTGCAGAGACCTGGATCAGTCAGGGTGAGGCTGGGATGTGAGTAGGGCAACTACTGGTGAGATGGGAAAGGCTGCCCAGTCTCTCCTGCAGGGAGCTTTTCTTGCCAGATAGGAGAGAGAGCTAGGGTACTCCATTTGGAATGCAGTGGGAAGGCATGGGATGTGAGATGGTAAATTGTCACTGTCAGCTTGAACGGGTTAAGACGCAGGGAGATTACTACCTATCTGTTTGTGGGACTACTTGCAGGGACCCTTACATCTTGAGAGTTTTGAACTAATATATGGATTAATCTCTTGGTTCATAATGCAAATAGACAATGAAAGGTGTCAGAAATAGAAAACGAGGGTCATGTTCTTGGTGCTCTATATCCTGCCTTCTCCCATGTTTATATTTCTTTTGCTCTGTTTCTTGTCTACCGTGAGGGCAGGAAGCTGCTCTACAATGCGATCCACTGCCATGGTGTTCTGACAAAGCTCACGGTGCCAGATATGATCTGAGCTTCAAATCTGAATCCCTGAGCCCAAGTAACCATTTCCTAATGAAAGTTGTCCTGGCTAGTGTTTGGGCCACCATGACATAAAAGTCACTAATGCAAATAATAAAGTAAGTGTGTGTGTCATGAGGAAGACACCTGTGAAACAGGGTAAGGTGGCCTGTTAGTTACATTTCTGTTACTGTGATAAAGCAATGACCAAGGCAACGTCTAGATTCCAGAATGATAAGAGTCAGGTATGACAGGGAAGTAAAGAGGTAGCAGGAAGCTGAGCGCTCCAATCTTCAACCACACACATGAAGCAGAGAGGAAGAACTAAAAGCGGCTTATGGATTTAAACTCTAAAAGCCCACCCACAGTGATATACTTACTCGAATAATACCAGGCCCCCTAAACCTCCCCCAAACAGTGCCACCAACCGGGGACCAAGTGTTCAGTATCTGACCCTGTTGTGGACATTCTCATTCGAACTATTGCCCATGGATTTCAGAGAGATGATGGGCACAGTAACTGGCCAGTGGTCATGGGTATGACTGAGACATCTTTGAAGGTATACACATACACACACACACACACACACACACACACACACACACGAGAGAGAGAGAGAGAGAGAGAGAGAGAGAGAGAGAGAGAGAGAGAGAGAGAGAGAGAGAGAGAGAAAGAGCTTAAATGCAGGTAGTATTTTTTCCCATATTTTCCCCAACACAGACTCTCTTTTAATTTTTGATAATAGTCATCATAATAGCTATGATATGATAGGTCACTGTGGTTTTGTTCTGCATTTCTCTCATGATTAGTAATGTTTTCATACACTTATCCATTTGTGTATTTTTTAAAAATTCTTGTTTAGTTCCCTTGCTGATTTTGATTAAGGTTGTTTATTTACCATTAAATATTAATTCATTCTGTATTTTGAGCATTATCTCCTTGTAAGATATATAGTTTACAAGTAATTGATCTCATTTTAAGTTGTTGTAATTTGGTTTATTGTCTTCTTAGTCATGTGGGACCTTTTCATTTAATCCTATTTGTTTATCTAAAAAGAACTAGTGTCTTGATCAGTGCTAAGAGGTATTTTCCTCTGTTTTCTTCCAAAAACAAATGGTTCCGTGACTTGGGTGTAAATGATCCATTTTGAGATGATTCTGTACACATGTGGATTTGGTCTCTACCGTTGATCTCAGTGTTTTTAGTAGGATAACTTTGAGGTATAAGTAAATATAATCTCCAGCTTTCTTCCTCTTTTTCAGCTTGCTTTAGCTCTTTCAGTTCTTTGGGAGTTCCATGTGATTTTTAGGGTTGTTTTTATTTTTGTGAGCATACTACCAATGTTTTCAATAGAGACTTACTGAACCTGTTAGATTACTTTCAGCACTACAGTTATTTTAACAATGTTAGCTATAGTCTAGGGTTCTGTATATACAGTATGGTGTTTTCTGTAAACAGAGACTATTTTCATTTCTCCTTTCCAACTTTAATGTCTTTTGCTAATATTATCTTGCCTAGTTGAATTGGCTTTCAATACCATGTTGAACAAAAGTAGTCAGAGTACACCTACCGTGTGCTTACCGTGTTTCCACTCTTAGGAGGAAAGCCTTCAACTTTCACTGTGAAGCATGATGTTGACTGTGGGCCTGTCTTACGTTTGCCTATATTACTCTGAGGAGCCTGCCCTTTTGATACCCATTATGGTAAGAATTTTTTTTTGTTGTTGTTTTTGAGACAGGGTTTCAGTGTAGCTTTGGAGCCTATTCTGGAACTTGTTCTGTAGACCAGGCTGGCCTTGAACTCATGGAGATCCGCCTGCCTCTGCCTCTTGAGTGCTGGGATTAAAGGCATGTGCCACCACTGCCCAGTTTATGGTAAGAATTTTTAATCATAAAAATATATTGAATTTTTTTTTTTTTTTTTTTTGGTTTTTCGAGACAGGGTTTCTCTGTGTAGCTTTGCGCCTTTCCTGGGACTCACTTGATATATTGAATTTTTGTCAACTGCTTCTTCCTCATCTTGAGATGACTGTATAGATTTTGTCCTTTATTCTTTTGATGAAGTATATCATATGCATTAATTTGCATACTGAGCCATCCTAAATTCAAGAGATAAATCCCACTTTGTCATAGTGCATGACTCTTTAAATGTGTTCATGAATTTGGTTCACTGCTATTTTGTTGAGTGTTTTTATGTCTGTATTCATCAGAGGGATGGCCTATACATTTCTTACTGGCTGTGTACACTTGTATGGCCTGGATACTATAAACTGAATTTGGAAGTGTTCCTTCCTTTGCACATTTTTTGGTAAACATATGAAGAGCATTGATATTAATTCTTGAAATGTTTGGAAGTATTCAACAGTGAAACCATCTGGTTTGGGGCTTTTTTCACTAGAAGATATTTTTTAAATTATTTCTTAAAAGATTTACTTTAGATTTAAGTGTGTGTGTGTGTGTGTGTGTGTGTGTGTGTGTGTGTGTGTGTGCACTCATGTGCATGAGTACAAGTGCCTTTGGAGACCAGAGGCTTGTGTCCCTTAGGTCTTGAGTTATAAGCCATTGTGAGCCATCCTACATGGGACCTGGGAACTGATTTTGGGTCCTTTGGGAGAATAATTGTAACTCTTAACTACTGAGCTATATGTCTACCTCCTCCCATTGATCTTTGGTTATTGATTTAGTTTCCTTCCACATTACTATTTTATTCAGATGTTCTATTTCTTCGACATTAGGTATTGGTAGGTTGCACGTTTCTAGGAATTTCTTGTTTTCCCAGGCTAGATAATATTCTCTAATTGTTCATAGTAGTCTCTATGATCCTTTGTATTTCTGTTATTGTTGGTTTAAGGCCTCTTCTTTTATTTCTGCTTTTATAATTTGTCTCCTTTTATTTTCATTGTCTAGTTGAAGATTTGTTTATCCTTGGATAGTTGAGCTTGAGGCTTTTGCATTGTTTTCTCGTTTCTCTTCCACTGCTGGCTGCTTTGGTGTGTATGACCTCCCGCTTGCTTGCTCAGAGCTACACTAGTCCTGCCTTTCCTTCTTCACAGAGCTGTTTGCTGGGAACCCCCTCTCTGTGCTGCCTCTGCTGTATCCCAGAAGTTCTGCTATGCTGTGCTTCTGTTTCATTATTTCAAAGATATTTTATAGTTTCTCTTTTGATTTCTTACTAATCAGTGGCTCAGAAATAAATATATATATATGCACATATATCTATGAATATATAGGAAAGATATATATATATGTGAATTTTCCTCATATTCATGAATTTTCCAGTTTTATTCTCATTAATAATTTCAAGTTTTACGTTACTATGGTCAGCAAAGATAGTTGGTGTAATTTTAATGTCCTTAAAGTTTTTCACTTATTTTTTGGCCTAACATGTGGTCTATCCTGTATGATGCTCTGTGTGCTTGAGAATGATGAGTAAGCAGCTGCTGTTGACTGTAGTTTCTGCACATATTTGCTTGATGTAGTTCATCTGAACAGTAGCTCAAGGCCAGCATCTTCTTCTTGACTTTCTGTTTAGAGTTGAAAATGGGATTGAAGTCTTCTGTTGTTTTGCTATCTATTCACTTGTCCCTATTTCTTTTTTGTTTTTGTTTTTTTGAGACAGGGTTTCTTTGTGTAGCTTTGCGCCTTTTCCTGGAACTCGCTTTGGAGACCAGGGTGGCCTCGAACTCACAGATATCCGCCTGCCTCTGCTTCCCGAGTGCTGGGATTAAAGGCGTGCGCCACCACCGCCTGGCCTTGTCCCTATTTCTTAACATACTTAGGAGGTTGGAAGTTCAGGGCACCCATATCTCTAACTATGCCTTATCTGTACATCGTCTGTGTATATGTAACTGCAGTTGTAGCCGGAGTCTCGTGACGTGATCAGTTGGCTCTTTTATGACGACCTTTGTTTCTTTCTACAGTTTTTGAGTTAAAGGCTAGCAGAAGCGCTGCTATTTCTGCCTGGTTTTGTTCGCCATCCTCATCTCTTCACTTTCAGACCATTATGCACTTAAAACTAAAATGACTCGCATATGATGAGTGGTATGTTTGTGTTTTTATTCTGCCACATACGACTTTGATGAGAGAATTGAGTTTGTTTATATAGGATGTGACTATTAACAAATAATGGCATACAGTTGATGTTCTGTTAATGGTTTTGTTTTATAGTTTTGTTCTTTCCCTTCTGCTCCTTGTTTTATTTTTCTTGGTGGTCTGATGACTTTCTTAAGTGGTACGCATCACCTTGTGGCTGCCATGGAATTTACATGAAATATGTTGCAGTTACAAGAGGCTAATTTGGGCTGATGGCAAATTAACTTCCATTACACATAAAAACTACATTTTGACTTCTCCTCCTTCACCACATTTTAGTTATTAGTGTCTCAGTATGCTGTTTTTATAATTGTGCTACCATTAACAATTTGTTGTGGTAATAGTTATTTTTAATAGCGTTCCTGTTTTCATGTTGCTAATTAGTATCCTTTTGTTTCAACCGGAAAAAACAATATATCCCCTTGTTTTTTGAAGGAGAGCTCTGCTCAGGGGTTTTTCTTCTTGGGAGATCCCTTTCCTATTTAACACCTTCAGGAAGCCATCTCATTTTCCTGACTTGCTGAAATGTCTCTGCCAATCACACACAGCTCCCCTTATAAGACATATTTCTTTTGCCACATTCACAATGCTTTCTTTGATAAAACAACAAAATTCTGTCATTGTCATGGATTTTTTTTGTCAGTTTGATCATGATGTCTTTTTAGTGTCTTGCTAAGGTAGCTAAATGCCCATTTAGGGACTTAGAACCTCAAATACTTTGGTAGCTACAGTGCTCACAGGATTTGGAGTGTATTAAGCCATTGTTTCTTGAGTCAGCTTTATATCATCCTCTCTATATTTTTCTTCTGGAACCCCCACAATCATATATTATTTCTCTTTACAGCATCCTGAAAATCCTCATTCCTTCCATTCAGCATCACATACAGCTATAGAAACCAGTCTTCATTACATCTTTTTCTTTTTTGGTCCATTGAAAGAAGGAATTGAAGTATAAAGCTCTCTTGGGGCTGACTATTCAGCCTCAGGGTTGGGTAATGTAGGTAAAGTGAGACTGTGGTTTTTTTGGTTTTTGTCTTCCTCATATGTCTGTTTGGAGATTTTTATTTTTGCTCTAGAAGTGTGTTGCTGCTTTCCCACAGGATTCCTGGACTGCTATTTGCCAACATCCGTGCATGTTAGAAGATGATGGCAGAAAATTCCTGTCTCATCATTTGCTGATGTCACTCCTGAACTCTCCTATTTTTAAGGCTCACTCTGGATGCATGGATGGCAAGGGTGGAAGCAGAGATGTGAAGTATGACAGGGCTATAATAACCAAAGGGAGAAATGATGTGGACTGGAAGCATGGTGGCAGCAGTGGACAAGTTTACATTAAAATGCATTTGGGGAGTAAATTAACAGAATTTTCCATGAATTAGGTATTTGATGTGGAGAAATAAAGGTCATATTAATGACTATAGAAATCTTAGACCTGAGCAACAGAAATAATGGAATTTCCATTTAGAAGGATGGGCCGGGGAACCACAAATCCAGTGACACGGGATATAGCAAATCAAAGCTTTATTTTATTAGATGTCTCCCGGTGAGTAATGCAAGGCACATGTGGCAGAGGCAATTGGAAGCAGGAGTCTGGCATCAGGGAGGGAAGTCCTGTATAGAAATATACATGCTGGAGTCTGCAAAGTCTAAATGGCTTTTCATATGGTATCATCTGTAGGGTGAGCAAAAATCAGATAAGGTCCATCTGGGGGTTAGGCTGGAGTAGTTATACATGTAGAACTGGGCTGATGAAAAGGAAGAATGGAAGTGGCACTTTCTGAGGAAGATAGCCCTTGTGAAAGGAAAAGAGCAAAGCAGCTTTAATGCCAGCAGAGGACAGATCCCAAGAAACAGAGTATGACAAGCTGTGTTTGACAGAGCTGATACGGCAAGGAGCAATGTGGACCTCAGCTTATTTCTGGACAACTCCAGGGGTGTTCAGGGCCTTTCTAATTAAGCTCAAACCACACTGTGGCTTGGTAGGCATGATAATATAATCCCCATGGCATTTTGTTTCGCATTCAAGTTTCAGTGCTTCCCCTCTAACCTAGAACAAGTAATAAGTGATTACAGGCAGGTTCTCTTAAGCAGATGCCTTTTTAGATGCCAGGAAGATAACCGCTTATTTTCTTCTAAACAGCTCCTGGGATGCGCTCGCTCTCTGTGCTCTCTCCCAGCCATTTCTGTGTTCTATGAAGCTGAGGTTGAATACATTTTTCTTTCATTTACCTGAACTCTATCTCGAGGCCCATTTTTTCCTGTCAGGTCCTCTGCCAATATGGAGAGCAATCAATCACCATCACCTTCATAAAAATGCCCTTTGTGTACTCGAAACTAGTAATCAGATCACCTCTTAACTTGCTCTTCTGTAGGATAAACAACACTGCTGCCTTTCATCTTCACTTAAAGGCTCTACTTTTACCCTCTTCATGTGTATGAAGATAGCATATTAAGTAAGTATAGTCTCCTCTAGGCCTGTTGCCCTCAATCCTTACAGACACATTTTTATCATATTTATAACCTATGATAACGTCTTTACTTATGAGAGGCAAATGAATGAATTTCTTCCAATCTTAAATTCTATCAACCTGACCTCAGTGGTGTGCACATAC